TGTGTAGAAGTATCTCATTGTGGTTTGAAATGCCATTTTCCTAAAATAATAATAATAATAATAATAATAATAATAATAAAACAGGTTTCTGTATACTTATTTGCCATCCATATGTCTTCTTGGCTGAAGTGTATGCTCCAATATTTTGCCCAGTTTTGATTGAGTTCTTTGTGTTTTGTTTTGTTTTTTAACCTTTTTTTTTATTTCTTAAAAGCCGTGGTTGGCAAACTGCTGCTCGCGAGCCACATGTGGTTCTTTGGCCCCTTGAGTGTGGCTCTTCCACAAAATACCACAGCCTGAGCGAGTCTATTTTGAAGAAGTGGCGTTAGAAGAAGTTTAAGTTAAAAAAATTTGGCTCTCCAAAGAAATTTCAATCTGTTCTACTGTTGGTATTTGGCTCTGTGCACTATGAGTGGTGCCGACCACTGGTTAAGAGAGAGGAAGGGAGAGAAAGAAAGAGAGAAAAACTTAGATTTGTGGTTCCACTCGTTTATGCATTCACTGTTTGCTCCGTGTATGTCCCTGACCGAGTGTCAAACACACATGCTTGTGTCGCTGGGCTATGCTCTCATCAATGGAGCTACCCAGCCAGGGCCAGTGTTTAGTTTCCTTATTCAGCTTCGAGAGTCTTTCTATGTCCCACTTGCAAGTTGCTCTGTGTTGTTTTTGTTTTTTCAAATATGTGCTTTGCAAATACTTTACAAAGTATTTTTTCAAAGAGGAGATTTCTTTAATTTTGATGAAGTCCAGTCTATGGTGCTGTTTACTAGTAGTATGGTGTCTTAGTAAAGAAATCTTTTTTAAAAATATATTTTATTGATTTTTTTTCAGAGAGGAAGAAAGAGGGATAGAGAGTCAGAAATGTCGATGAGAGAAACATCAATCAGCTGCCTCCTGCACACCCCCTACTGGGGATGTGCCTGCAACCAAGGTGCATGCCTTTTGACCAGAATTGAACCCGGAACCCTTCAGTCCATAGGCCGACTCTCTAGCCACTGAGCCAAACCGGTCAGGTTAATTAAGAAATCTTAACCCTCCGGAACCGGTTTGGCTCAGTGGATAGAGTGTCGGCCTGTGGACTGAAAGTTCCCGGTTTTAAATCCGGTCAAGGGCTTGTACCTTGGTTGCGGGCGCATCCCCAGGTGTGTGTGTGTGTGTGTGTGTGTGTGTGTGTGTGTGTGTGTGTGTATGTGTGCTGATCAATGTTTCTAATTATCTCTCTCCTTTCCTCTCTGTAAAATATCAATAAAATATATTTTAAAAATATATATTGTTATTGATTTTTAGAGAGAAGAAGGGTGGGGAGAGAGAGAAGCACTGATAGGAGAGCAATTGCTGCCCCCTGATGCCCCCTACCGGGGATGGAGCCTGCAACCTAGAACGGTGTTCGGCAAACTGCGGCTTGCGAGCCACATGCAGTTCTTGGGCCCCTTGAGTGTGGCTCTTCTAGAAGTGGCATTAGAAGAAGTTTAAGTTTTTAAAATGTGGCTCTCAAAAGAAATGTCAATCGTTGTACTGTTGATATTTGGCTCTGTGGACTAATGAGTTTGCTAACCACTGATCTAGGACATGCCCTGACTGGGAATCCAACCAGCAACCTTTCGGTGCATGGACAGTGCCCAGCCAATGAAGCCATACCGGCCAGGATGGCTAGTTTAAGCCTTACTTTGCCATATGAGTTTTGGAGTCAGCTTAGAACAAATTGATCAATTACTGTTTTTTAAAAAATCCTGCAGGGATTCTGATTGAGATGGAGTTTTACCTATTGATTATTCTGGGGAGAAATGACATCCTAACAGCACTGAGTCCTCCTATCGAGGGCCGAGGTATGTCTCTCCATTTCTTTTCATCTTTAGTTACTTTACTCTCCACAACTTCATTGTACACATCTTGCCCCTCTTTTGTTAGACTTATCCATGCGTGTTTCATGCAGTTTGGTGTTTTTGTAAGTGGCATTTTAATTCCTATTCCTGATTATTTGAGGCTAGTGTACAGGAAAACAATAGGTTCCTAATTGGCCTGGTAATCTGCGATACTGCTTCGCTTCATCTTAATGCCGGTGGCTTTCTTGTGCCAGAATCTGTGAGGTTTCCAACCTAGGAGATCACGCCGCCTGCAAATACAGACAGTTCTCCTTCCTTTCCGACCTGAATGCCTTTTGTTTCTCTTTCTTCTTCTCTCCTTTTGAAAGAGAGGGGCTAGCGGGAGACTAGAACTCCCAGTACGATGTTGACTATAAAGGTGGGAACAGACATCCTTGCCTCGTTATTGTTCTCTGGGGGGAAGCATTCAGCCTTTCACCGCTAACTACGATATTAGCCGCGGCGAGGTTTTTAGAGGTGCTCTTTGTCACTCCGAGAAAGTCCTTTTCTTCTCCTTGTGACTGAGTTTTTATCACCCATGGATGTGAAGTTAATTAAATGCTTTCCCCGGGTCTATGGAAACGTTCTTACGGGTTTTCTTTTTTTAGTGCATTAATACGATGCATTACACGGATTGATTATCAAATGTTAAAGCAATCTCACCTTCCCGGAATAATCTCCGCTTGGTCGTGAGCATTTTCCTCTTTATAAATGATTGTTTCATCCCATTTTCTAAAGTTTCACCGAGGGCTTTTGCATCTAGGTTAATGAGGGACATGGGCCCGCGGTTTTCTTTCTGGTGATATCTATATCTGGGTTTGCATCCCGGGTGAATGCTGGCCTCAGCATACGTGAGCAAGTATTCCTTCTTGAATTTTCTAAAGAGTTTGCAAAGAACTGGCATTATTTCTTCCTTAAATGTTTGGTATCGTTGCCTAGGGAAGCCATCGGGGCCTTAGAGTTCTCTCTGTGGGGAAGTGTTGAGCTATAAATTGAATTTCTTTCATCTGTGTACAGCTAATTAGGTTATCAACCTCTTTTTCGGCGAACTTCCATTGTTTGATTTTAGGAAGATGTTCTTCCATATCATGGAAGCGGCAGAATTGGTATGCACACGGTGTTCACACTTAATGTTCTCTTGTTATCCCGTCCATCGGGGCCGGTGGGCTGGGGGCCGCCTCTCCCAGCCCTGAGATCAGCCGGCCATTGGGATTCTCTCTGTGTCTCCTCGTCGCCTGGCTGCCCGGTGTATCTCTTCTCTGATCTCCCAGAGAAGCAGCTTCTGCTCCCTTTGGTTTTCTCCATTGTCTTTCTGTCTTACTGCTCACAGGTTTCTGTTTTGATCTTAGTGATTTCTTCTCTTCACTTCCTAGGAGTTTAATTTGCTGTTCATTGTCTTTGTTCATTTGAAAATGGAAGTTATTGCTTTTAGACTTTTTTTTTCTCCTCCCTTTTTAACACAAGCATTTGGTGCTATCAATTCTTGCCTTCATACGCTTTGAGAGGCAGCATACACATTTTGACATTTTTTTTTCTTCATGTTTCTCCCATTCAACGCGCTTTTTAACTTTCCCTTTTTATGTCTCTTTGACCCATGCATCGTTTGGAAATGTGTCATTTCGTTTCCAAGTGCTTGGCCATGCCCGAGAGATCTCTCTGTTATTGATACGGTGTCTAATTTAATCCCACCCTGGCGAGAGGATAGACTTCGTATGACTTATATCCCTTTAAATATACGGATACTTGTTTTATGGCGCAGGGTGTGATCTATCTTTATAAATGTTCCATGTACACTTGCAAGGAATGCGAGTCTGCAGTTGTCGGGCGGCCTGTTCTATAAATGTCAGTTATGTCAAGTTGGCTGGCAGTGTTGTTCGAGTCCACTCGATCCGTACTGATTTTCTGCCCACTTGTTGTATCAATTACTGAAAAGGGAGGATTGAGATGCCTGGCTATAATTGCTGATTTGTCTATTTGCAGTTGCGCTGAGTTTTGATGGCATGTGTTTTTCACGCTCTGTCATTAGAGGTATAAATTGGGAAGATTGTTAATGTCCTCTTGGTCAATGATTCCATGACCATTATAAAATGAACTTGGTTTGAAGCCTTGAAATCTATGTGTCTGATATTAATATAGCCCCTTGAAATGTCTTTTGAGTTGTGTCATTTTTCCATCCTTTACTTTTAACCTGTTTGTGTCTCTCTACGTGCGGGACAAGTAAAGGATGGAAAATTTAATACGACACAACTCAAAAGACATTTCAAGTGGCTATATTAATATCAGACACATAGATTTTGTAAGCGACTTTGTGTCTTGCTTGTCTATTGTTGGGCGTGCTTAGACACTTACATTTAATGTGATTCTTGGTCTTTAAAAAGCCAGTCACCTTATGATTAGGTTTCTATTCTTTCTAGCTGTTCTTGGTTCTCCCGTTCTCTTTTTTCTTTTCTTTTTTTTTTCTTCTGCATTCTTGGAATGAATTCGGGTGTTTATTATCTCATTGCATCTCCTTTGTGGACTTGCTAGCTAGTTTGTCATTTTAGTCATTATTTATGGTTTACAGTCTTCACCATTAACTTACCCCAGTCAGCCTTCAAGTAAATTCCACTTTACACCTAGCGTAAGACCCTTTCACGCCAGACTTCATTTCTCCACCCCAACTGCCATGCTGGTGTCATACATTTGACTTTTCATATATTATAGACTATACTACATTAACATATTTATTTATTTTACAATATGTTTTTATTGTTTGTTTATTTTTAGAAAGAGAATTAACATTGATGTGAGAGAGAAACATTGATCTGCTGCTTCCTGCACACCTACAACCTGGGCATGTGCCCTGACCAGGAATTGAACTGGCAACCTTTTAGTTCACAGGACAACCAACTGAGCCAGGGTTACCATTTTTATTTGAACCATCAACTATCTCTTAAAGAAATTTAAAGCCTGAGACTAGAGTCACATTTAAATATATATATATTTTTTTTTTATTGATTTTTTTTTTTTTTTTTTTTACAGAGATGAAGAGAGAGAGATAGAAAGATGTGTCCACAACCAAGGTACATGCCCTTGACTGGAATCGAACCTGAGACCCCTCAGTCTGCAGGCTGACAATCTATCCACTGAGCCAAATCGGTTTAGGCTAGTCACATCTTGACAGCTATTGTCCTGGTGTGCTAGAATTCTCAGAGAGAATCTGCTGGTCTTGATTCACTGACTCTGGCAGTAAGTCCCCCCGCTAGTGCTCAGATCAGAAACATAGAGGGAAGAAAGAAAAGAAATTTAACGAAGAAAAAACAACTTTGACTATTTACACACGAGGTTATCATTTTTCGGTATTCTTTAATTTGTGTAGATCCTTATTTCTAATATCATTTGCCTTATGCTCAAAGGACTTGACATTTCTTGGCGTACTAATCTGTTGTTGATGAATTCTTTCAACTTTTGGATATCTGAAAATATACTTTACTTTTGTTCTTGTGAGATGTTTTCCCCAGGTACATCAGTGAAACTGTTCTAAGTGAACAGTTTTTTTTGTTTTTTGTTGTGTTTTTTTTTTTTTTTTGTGTGTGTGTGTGTGTGTGTGTGTGTGTGTGTGTTTCTTTTTGGTATTTTATTTTGCTTTATTATAAGTTGCTTTTTTAAAAAAAATACATTTTATTGATTTTTTACAGAGAGGAAAGGAGAGGGATAGAGAATTAGAAACATCAATGAGAGAGACACATCGATCAACTGCCTCCTGCACACCTCCTACTGGGGATGTGCCCACAACCAAGGTACATGCCCCTGACCAGAACTGAACCAGGGACCTTTCAATCCACAGGCTGACGCTCTATCCACTGAGCCAAACTGGTTAGGGCTATAAGTTGCATTTTAAATATATATATATGTATTGCTTTAAGAGAGGAAGGGAGAAGGAGAGATAGGAACATCAATGGTGTGCATGCCTCCTAATGGGAATCAAAGCCTGAAACTTGGCATGTGGCCTGACTAAGAATTGAACTGAGACCTCCTGTGCACATTCAGCCGCTGAGCCACACCAATTAGGCTCCTTTTGGTATATATGAAAGCTTGCTGCTCTGTTGTCTTCTTGTTTGCATCGTGTCTAGTAAGAACTTTGCATTCATTTTTAGTTTTATGCCTCTGTGTCACATGTCTTTTTGCCTCTGGCTGGGTTTAAGATTTTTGTTCTCCATTAATGGTTTTGGACCATTTCATTCAGATGTACTTTTGTATAGTGTTTTTCTTATTCTTTGTACTTAAGGGTCATTGAGTCCCTTAGAACTAAGGGTTTATAGTTTTCATCAAATTTGGAAAAATTTGGCCTTTACTTCTTTAAATATGTCTCTGCTCCCTCCCCCTTAGGATCGTTTATCTGTGTATTAGGCTGCTTGAAATGGTCCCACACTCATTGATGCTATTTTAATTTGGGGGATTATTTTCTCTGTGTGTTTCATTTCAGATAGCTTCTATAACTAAATTGTCGAGTTAATTATCCTTTCTTCGGCAATGTTTAATCTGCCAATAATCTTACCCAGTGTAATTTCCTCTCACGCACGGCGGTATTCGTCTCTGGACGTTCAATTTGGCTGTTTTACTATCTTCCATTTCCCTGCTTAACCTTCTGAACATACGGGATACAGTTATAATGACTGTTTCCATATCTTCTGCTGCTGATTCTTACATCTGGGTAGGTTCCAGGTTGGTTTTGAGTAATTAGTCTCCCCATGGTGCGTCCTGTATTCTTGACTCTTTGGATGCTTGGCAAACTTTTTGTTTAATCATCACCTGAGGACATGCTCGAAGAGAGAAAAGCAGGGGGAGAGGGAGAGGGAGAAAGAGAGACATGACAACTGACAGCCAACTGACACTGCAGCCGGGGCTGGATGCCTGGGCAACTTCGATTGGGTGCCAGACATTAAATTTTGCCTTGTGTGAGTGTTGAGCCATTTTTGTGATCCTATAAATATTTGGAGTTTTGTTCTGGGTTTCAGCCAAGTTACCTGGAAATGGTCTGGTCCTTGAGGGTCTTGTTTCTCGAATGTGCTGGGCAGATCTGAAGCAACTCCTTAGCCCAGGGCTAATTCCTTCCGGCTGCAGAGGCCTCTCCTGGTTGAGAACTTGAGTGTGAGCTTTCCCGGCTGCGGGGTAGAAACAGACACTTCCCGCTCACCCTTTGGGATGGCGTACGGTGTGTGTGTTTTAGTTTCTGGGTGTTCTCAGCCCTCGCTGTCCTCTGCCCTGAGAGCTCTATCTGCCTCAGTTTCCCTCCCAGCCCCACGGCCTGGAAATCTCCCCAGGAAGTCAGCTGAGGTGGTTTTAGCACTCACCTCATCTGTTTCCCAATGCTCACTGATGTCCAGGGTCATGAAAAAACCCTTGGTTCCCATAGTTTGCCTGGTGGCTTGGAAGGTATCACAGGGGAGGGTAAATGTGTTCCCATTGATTACTCTGTGTTTTGGTGTTGTTGTTAATTCTCACTGGAGGATATTTTCCATGATTTTTAGAGAGAGTGGAAGGGAAGGGGAGAGACGGAGAGAAAGACACATCAATGGGCCGCCTCCTGCATGTGCCCCAACCAGGAACAGAGGTCGAGCTTGCAATCAAGGTACTTGCCCTTGACCAGAATCAAACCCAGGACTCTTCAGCGTTCTACCCACTGAGCCAGTTGGACTTAGGGCAGTGATCGGCAAACTCATCAGTCAGCAGAGCCAAATATCAACAGTACAACAATTGAAATTTCTTTGGAGAGCCAAACTTTTTAAACGTAAACTTCTTCTAACACCACTTCTTCAACATAGACTCGCTCCGGCCATATTTGGTGGAAGAGCCACACTCAAGGGGCCAAAGAGCCGCAGGTGGCTCACGGGCCGCAGTTAGCTGACCACGGGGCTAGGGCCTGTTACTCTGTCTTGACCAGAACATTCCGGGAGGTGTCTTCTCGCTTTCCAGTGTCCACCTGACCACGATTCCTACAGTTCTTGTTCCATAGCTTCCATTTATCCCGACAAGAAGGCTGACGCCTGTGCCAGTGTCCCCCTTACTTTCTCCAGAAAACCAAGCAATGACAGGCGACGCGCAAGCATAGCTTCTGGGCTCCATCCCACCAGGCCTGGCTCAGAAGAACGGCAAGGAGTCGGCGGCAGTGGTGACAGGCATGGCCGGACAAGGGAAGGTGGTGCTTGTGGACACAGCGGGGCAAGGACAGCCCCCCGAACAGGTTTGACACAAGCCTGTGGTGGGGACCCGAGGGGAGAGTGGCTGAGATGGGGAGGGGGGAGGCTTTCTCCTCTGGCCCAAAAGGGGAGACCCTGGCAACATGGCACAATTGGTTCCTGGATGTGCCTCTTGCCGCTCAGCCTCTGTGAGGCCTGGAGGCGCGCGCGCACACACACAAACACACACACACACACGCACACAGGCGCTGCCAGGGGATCAGTTAATCCCCTCAAGAGGTTAGTAGGGTGGGTTCTTGGCCCCATTTTGTAGAGTTTCCGAGCTACTCAGCTGGCACACGGGCGGGCGAGCCAAAGGGCCAACTTGCAGCCTCCCCTGGGCTCCGGAAAAAGTCAAGTGGCCCTTTTGCTGACCTTCAGAGCTCAAAACCCGGCTGAGCGACATCCAGGGGTGTCCTGGACCCCAGGCCCTCACGTCTGGCCCCCCCACATGTGCCGGTACAGGGCGGGGCCGCCCGCCAGCCTCCAGGCCTTATAAGTCCAGGAGGCAGCCGTGCTCCCCTGGCATGGGGCGGGCTAGTGAAAGATGGCAGGAATGCTGGCCTGGGTCGGAGGCAAGGGGCGCTCCTAAATAGGGCATGTGCGGTGCCCAACAGGCCACTCGGTGTCCTGAGACGTGTGGGTCTAAAATTGGAAGGTGCAGAGGTGGCCTTGACTTTTTCCGGCCTTGGATCATCCTCACCCGCCCTCGGCTGGGAAGGATCTGACAGGTGGTCCCGGCCCCTGGGCCCCTGGGCCTGGATTCCTGTGTCCTCAGCAGAGGCCCGAAAATAGCCCGGGACATGCTCGCACGTCCGTCCTCAGCGCCCTAAGTCTCCGTGAGGAGCTGCCTGAGGACTCACAGGGCCTAAGTCTCCACTTCCCCCAGCCTGCGGCCGGTAAGGGGGCTTTGGCGCCGGGCAGACCCAGCACCGTATTCCCACCCAACTCCCTGTGGGTTTGGGGCAAGACAGCGAAGTCCCCTGAGCCTCGTGCCGCTCATTTTTTTCACACTTTTTTCTCTCCTTCCATTCGTGGCGGGGCCTTGGGGTGCCCTTTGCTCCCAAACGCCTCAGTGTGCCATCGTTCTCACTCTCAGGTTCCAAAACCACCACCCTATTGCTCCCACCCACTCAGATCTCCCCGAGTTCCGCTCTGCACAGATTCACCCTCTGCCCTGGAGCCTGCGATTTGCTTGGGCCCAAAGCTGCTGCCCTCCATCGGGCTTTCCGTGTCCCTGGCTGACCCGCAGGGGGGCAGAGACGAGGCTGGCATGTGTCCTGGGAGGACACTCAGCTTCCCGGCCTTAGACTCGGGGCTCAGAGGTCCCGGGGGCCTCCATCTGGCAAGAGACAGGGCAGGGCTCTTAGGAACCGCAGACGGCACAGGCGTGCGGTAGTGAATTTTACAAGAATCGTGCGGGATGGCTCCCTGACCGGAGGAAACTGAGGCAGCAGAGCTAGGACAGAGGGTGTTCAAGTTCACACAGCCCATACCGATCAGATGATCAGATATCTGATCCGTGCACCCAGTTCTGTCTCCTCCGGAATGCGGCCCTAGAAACGCTTAATATGGTTCCTTATTCCCAGCCTGGAGCCACCAGCTGCCGAGATGCTGAACGAGAGCTTCCTGGCGCCGAGTCCCGTGTCCCAAGCTATTTTAGGTGTCGGGAATTTGTGCACATTAAGCATGTGGCCAGGACCCCTGGAAGCTCTCTCCGGCTCTGCCCGCGCGCCCCCGCCCACCCCAGACCCTTTCCATGCCCTGGTGGGTGGGGGTGGGAGGGTGAGGGTCTCAACCCCCGGGCCGGGGCCTCTGGACACCCACTGACCTTGTGCCCGTGGCCGTCACCTCTGGCCGGCTCCCGGAGGCTTCTCTGAAGTGGTGGCCTCCTTTAGCCCGTCGGAGCCGGCCAAGTCGCTGATCCCCTGTGCGGGAAGCCTGGTGGCCTCGGCTCTGCCCTAATATGACTCTTGGGCACAGGATCAATCTGCGGTGTCTCAGCAGGGCCTCCCGGGCGCTGGTTGCCAGGCCGGGGCAGCCGGGG